TACAGAAATCACAAAGGGAACTTCTACATAGACGATCCGGAAGAATGAAGTAGATTATCCCTGCTCAGTACGAACAATCCCCCTACTCTTGACGAATATCTGAAAAATGATGGTGGGTCAGGCCCACAAACAAGTTCTACTCTACTACAGTCTAAATAAAGACCCGATACGCAGATACATCCTAAATAACTCAACAATAGCTAAATAGTCCATATATATATATATATGTACACACTATAGGACGCTCGCTAGCCCATAGTTCTATCTCAGCCTGAATAGAAGGTAACATGCAAATTACACATCACGTGGGCATGTATACCTAGACCTACCAGGGAACATCAATTATGTCCAATTATCTATCCTAAGCAATATACGCACTCTAACCATGATCCTAAGACTCAAGCTCATATCACGATACTATAATTATATATATATAATATCCTTCCTAATACAGAATATAAAAACAAACATCCAATATGTTATTCAACTGTTTTAGTTGACCTGACATGAATATAGGTAGGACTTAACCTTTATAGTTAATCCATTCCCTATTTCAAAATAGGTAGGAGTTAGCGTTTTGATCTAATACATACCTAATATGCCACTGTCCCATACCGGTGCATATAATCCAAAAACAAATACAATAATTGACAAAATAGAATAAGCAATTCATTAATTAAAATCCAATATAGGTAGGAATTAACGTTTTGATCTAATCTGTACCTAATATGCCACCATCCCATACCGGTGCATATAATCCACCAAAATTGATAGAAATAGAAATAAATAGTTCATCAATCATAGTCCAGAGTAAGCATAAGAAAAATCTGATATGTATATGATCATATTATGCATCAATTACAAGATTTAAGAATCATGTCACAGTCCTTTAAATTGCTAAATTAAAGTGAAACAATTAAATCCTTTATATCCGTTAACAGCATGCAAAATTGTTTAAACTTTCATACTGTTGTATTCATTAACATATAGATATAAATTATGCAATATGGGGTTTTAATATAACATGAAATAATATTTAGAACCTTCCATATTAACCCAAAATAGTTCGGGAACCCTAATCATCCAAATAGTGCTCAGAAACCACCTCCAGTACATACTTAAGCAAGAAAGCTTGCTCTCAAAAGTGGAGAGCAAGCTCCCACACAAAGAGAGCCGGCTCCCCTACCCTTGGAGCCGGCTCTGTGCCTTAGGGAGCCGGCTCCCTTCACCATGGAGCCGGCTCTCTTTCTCACAGAGAGCCCTGGGCAAAGAAAAATAGGGAGTCGGCTCCATCCCCTTGGGAGCCGGCTCTATCCTTGCTTCCTGTCGTCATCTTCGTCTTTGACGATGTTAACATCCCTCTAAAATCTTTAGTTTAAGTTCCTAGAGGTCCAATTATGTCCCATAACCTCCAGAATAACATGTAAACTCAGTACACATCGTTACAAGATTTTAAACAGAATACGAAACAATTTATATGATAATTCAATTTCAATTAAATCAACACATAAAACAGTTTAAAGTCTGAATTAACATGCATAAAATAACAGTTTTTAAAGCCCGATTTAATCCTGGAGGTTATCTAGGTATGCATAAAACACAGGTCAAAGGAAAAGAGCAAGAAATAGAACTTGCCTTTGGTTTTAGTTTTGGTTTCTCTAATATTTCTGATGGCTCCTTAACTACTGTCTACTACTCCTGGTTCAACCCACAAGCAATCTTCTTCCTTCCTCCTTGGTCCGACCTTCAATCTATGGCCAAAACCCCAACAGATCCTCTCAGTTTCACCAATGTGTGATTGAATCCGTGTACAGGATCTCCTGGGTGCCTCCAAAATGACCTTGTCATGACGAGTAAGGTTCGTGTCTAGTTTGAAAGTGAGACAGATTGAGACAGATTGTAGTTTTGGGCTATGAATTAAAAAGGAGTGAAAAGGTATGTTATCTTTTAAAAAATGAGTGGGAATGTAAATTTTGTATTGAAAAGGTCATTGAGTGTGGTCTTTTCAAATTCTATATTTTGATTAAAAAGAAAAAAGAAAGTAAAAAATGTATGGAAAAAATCAAAATTCTATACACTTTGTCACTTTTATAAATAGTATAGATAGATAGATACAGATTTCTGTATTTGATGTAACCCCGAATCATCATGTTTCTAGCTGAGGTTTACCAAGTGGCTTGCGTTGCCATCAAAAAAGCCATCAAATGTATGAACTCCATCAAAGCAAGAAATTCAAAGTGTAGTTAAATAAACAATCTACATTTTGCATAGTGTTACAAATTGCAATCAATATTTATCCTTTAATCTACAAAGAAATAAACATGAATGTAACCTTTATGTTTCAACAAGTAGAGTAGTTTTGACTTTGGGATTATGCAGAGTGTGGATATTATAATTGTTGAATCCGAAGCTCCAGTGTGTAATGACACTTGCTGTTTCTTCACTTGCCCTTCCCTTTTTTTTTTTTGGATTAGTTGCTTCACTTGCCCTTCTCAACTTCAAAAGCCCATTGATCAATCCATGAAATACACACTTATATCTTTTTTCTCAATCCCTTCCACAATCTTATAAGCCTCTCTAACTCTAGGATTTGTCAGTAGCCCAAAAATTAGCGATGCCAACGTCAAATTATCAGTTTCAATCCCTCTCTTATGCATTTCTTCGAACACCAAATGAGCTTGCCCAAGCTTACTTTTTTTACACATCCAATTGATCACAAACCAAAATCATCAATCCCTTTGGTCCTCATTTATTGAAAAAGTGTAATGTTTCTTATTTTCGTCATTTTTCATTTTTTTGAAGTTTATTATTTAATTGGAGACTTACCAAATTGAAGATTTATGTTTCAGTTTATTGGATTAGGTTATGTTGCATTATATATATGTATATATATATATATATATATATATATATAAGTATATATTTTGATTTATGTATATATTGTAGCATCTGATGAAAGAAGCAAAAAGATGCACTGCCGAAATGAGATATTTATTTTCTTTTTCCTGTGGGACCCACCATTAATTCAATTATGTAATGACCCAAACCGTCACTTCTTCCATCTCTCTCTGTCTCTCACGCATTTTTTTCTTTTTCATCCAAAGCTTCAAATCTTGATTAATCTTCAACCGCTGAGAGTTTTTGGGTGCCGTTTGCGGCAAATCGAAGAGCACGGCAAGATCTTCAAGTGGGTGTAAGCAATTTCAATTTTGGTGCACTCTAGGGATTTTGATTTTTTGGCTCACTTTGGGGATTTTTGCATCTAAGTGAGACAGGGGTTCTAATTCACATGTTCTTGGGTTTTTTTTTTATGAATTACTCTTCTTAATTGGTAATTAGCATGCTTGATTTGAAGAAATTTCATGCTATGTTATAAGTATATGTTGTGCCAAAGTTATGACTATGTGTTGCTTGATATACATGATGATAAAGCATGTTTAATTATTAATTTATTCAAGCCCTTTGTGCCTTTAGTGCTAAGTTTGTGATTAGAAAGCATGAAATATAAATTTTTGAATTTTTTGTTACAAAGTATGTATATTGTTGAATACTAATTTGATGAGCATGAATTTCTTTATTTGTACAACATTGAGATATATGAGACATTCATGCATAGCATTGGACAAAGAGAAAAAAAAAAAAAAAAAAGGGAAAGAATTGTTTTATAATGAAATAAAGGGGTTTTGGGAATTTTTTTTTGATAATGGCTACAAAATTCCTAAAACGAGTTATCAAATCAGAAAGTGGAGTACATTTTCATAAAGTAGAGAAAGAAGGAAATGGTATAGGTAAAAAGTGGAGTATCAAATCAGTGGTCCCCACCCGTGATAATTGCACATTTGGATAATGCTATAAATAATATATATATGTTTTATAAACTAGTATTTAAACCTTTCTATAGTGTTTTTAGATCACTTTTCTCTTTCCCTCACAATAGCTATATTCATTTGTAATTTACATGGCTCAAACAAATAATAATAAAATAGATAATGAGGTAAATGTACCACACCATTTATTAAATAATGTTGATGCGACATTCTACTTTTATAAAAGTAGATAGAGTATGTATGTGATCCACACCGAATGCTCTTAGTTGTGATCGTCCTTGTCTTAAATCGAGTCAGATGATACCTATGAAGTATTGTTATTCTCATTGCATTCCATGAATGCGGTGGATCTTTATTTATTTATTTTATTTTATTTTTATTCTTCAACAATTTGTTTCTAATAAGTAAACACTGATGGATGAATATGTAATAGTCTAGTGAGAGAAAATGAGAAACATTTATAAACACACAAACATTGAAATTAAACCAACCAAGGAGGAAAATAGAACAAAATGCCAAAAAAAAAAAAAAAATACCATTAGTGTCCCACATCAAGTATAGTCACTGTAAATCTAACAAAATTAATCCAACAAAATATGAACACTTATTCTATTGATTTGAAAACATGTTAAAAGACTTGACACACTTAAGTCAATCAATTATACAAGGACCACGTCCTAAACTAAGTAAACTTTACATAACAAAGGTATCTTTTTCAAACATGGCACATCTGCTCGAGGAGCTTCGTAGTAAAGATATCACTCTGTCAAAATTATTTATCCTTCATCCCATACCTATCCAAACACATAATCAAAAATTCCTTCTTTCTTCAAGACTGGTATTTATTTATGTCCTAATTGCTAACAAAGATCATATATGCATTTACCTTTTATAATATACTACCATACTAGTACTTGACAAGAACAAAAAGAAAGAAGGCTTGTAGCTCGTGAAGGGTAAAAGGTCTGTCTGTATCTATCTTGGGGTTAGGTGTAATGTTTGGTTGTGCTGGGGGGTGCGTATGCGTTGTTGTATCCCACTCTTTGTGAATTTTCGATGTATTATTTAAATTTGCATCTATGTGTAGTTGCTTCTGCTGTCACACATCGAAAAAACATAAATTGAAGTTATGTAGATAGGCTTATATAATGAGTTGAAAGCACAAGTTTCAACATACTTACTTGAACGGGATCTATGGGCGATTGATAAGGTCCATGGTCTAGGTTGGTGACCTCCATTGCACTGAGGAGGGGTGCCTGCCTAAGGTCTACTCAAGTAGTAGAGCCTACATTATAATTTGTGGTAGTGGGGCCTACGTCCGCGCGGCCCCTGCCCAATATTTGAATTTAAAGTTTTTTATATTGTTAATAGGTACGTCATAATTTGTGGTAGTGGGGGCCTGCGTTCGCGGCCCCTACACAATATTTGAATTCCAAGTTTTTTATATTGTTAATGGGTTGGGCTATAAATATATATAGCTTGGCATGGAGATTATGTTGGTTGTTATTACTGATTTGGGCCTCATAGAATGAAATCCATAAGTATTATTACTAAATAGATTTTTTATTTATTTATTTTATCAATTTGAGACTGCTATTTTTATTTTTAAGTTCGTCACTCACAACATAAGAAGTCTAGTAGGATAGGATAATAATATAATAGACCATAAAACTCCTATTAGGTTAGGAATTTGAAAATGGAATTGGTACCAATCCTTAAGTTTGAGCTCAAGAACGACCCTACAACTATAGGACATTGTTCCGACATACTCATACAAATTACATCAAAATAACTCCAATGTCAAATTATCAGCTTCAATCCATCTCTTATGCATTTCTTCGAACACCAAACGAGATTGCCCGACCTTGCTTTTTTACACATCCAATTGATCACAATTTGGTCCTTATTGATTGAAAAGGCTTTAATACTTCTTTAAAAGGGTCTCCATCATTTTCTCAAGCATCTCAAAACCCTTCATCAACCATCAAATTCCAAACTTTAGAAGCCCTCAATGAAATCATTACAATTTGCAACAATCAAATCAGTAAATGCATAAAGATACTACGTCTTCCATAAAGGTGGACTCACCGTGATTATATTATACGATTACTTAGAAAAGACTTTGCATAAATATTTGATTGGTAGATCCATTAAATGTGAACTACTCGTGGGTTCATCTTAGCTGCATTCCAAGAAGACTGACCGTGATTATATTATACGATTGCTTAGAAAAGCCTTTGCATAAATATTTGATTGGTAGATCCACTAAAGGTGAACTCCTCGTGGGTTCATCTTGGCTGCATTCCTGGAATTTTGCAACTCTGGCCAAACTCATGTCCTAGATTCTACTAGTTATCTGACTTTATTGACAAGTTTAAGTAGATCGAGTAATAGAATTTGTATGTGGTATATTTTAATATATATCTTGATATATATCTTCTTCAAATGATTACGAGTACGTTGATAAACCCAGATAATCAATCATTTTGGACCTCATTGATTGAGAAAGCTTTAATGTGAATTGATTAGTCTCGAAAAGTGTAATACCCCTAATTTTAAAAGGATAGTCTCGGCATTTTGATTATTGTTTTATTGCATTTTTGTGTGACTATTTGCTTATTTGTTTAATTGTTTAATGGTTTTAATTATTTATTTGATTTAGTTGTTTAATTATGTATTTAAATTGCATTAATTGATTTCTTGTTTTCTTTAATTGAATTGTTTGATTTAAGTGTCTTTTGTATTTTCTTTGATTGGATTACTTTAGTGTGATTAATTTTAATGTATAACTTAGTTTAATTAAATGTTTTATTGGATTTAATTTGTGTAATTAGATTAAATTAGTAACAGTTATAATGTATTAAATTAGTAATAGTAATAGTGTTAAACAGTAGGGTTTATTTTCTTTTAGAATGCATGTTGTGGCCGACTAGGATTTACATTAGGGCTCTGTCTCAAATTATACGTGGTTTAGGGTTTTAATGTTCTAAGCCGATAAATATAATATTACGGTGGTTTAGGGTTTTACAAACATAAACATAGTTCTATTCACATAAAATAGAGCGTTGAGAGAACGGAGGCACCGTAAGGGTTGTCAAGGAGAAAAATAGAGAGGACTAAGGGAGTGTTGTTGTGGATTAAACCAGAACCATAGGAGGCTTGAAGGTATTCAGTGGTTGCCGAAAATTTAGAGACGACGCTGGGATTTCATAACTGAAATCACAGGTAAGTTCTTTTCTTTCTCTCTCTCGTTGGCTTGTGTTCTGTGCACACCTAGATGATCTCTAGGACTTTAATTGGACATTAAATATATTTTGCATGTTTAATATATGTTAGAATATTAGCTGGTATGTTGTGATACCCCTTGGATCCGAGACACGGGTTGATCAGGCCCAGGCCCAAACCCGAGGGAATATCAAACAATTAATATTTTATAATGAACACGGAATACAAAATAAATTAAGAAATGAAATTAAAGCTGGAAGGAACTAAAAATAGAATCCCCAAAATATTGTAATTATTAAAATCCATCAAACCCAAACTCCAAAACTCCATCAGTTTACAACTTGGGAATCCATCTCTAGTGGACCCCTATTAAACATCCAAACGGAAGATAGAACAACTGTAATAAACGTCCAGAAATAAAACTATAGAGAGAGCCCTACATCGTCGGAAGAGTGAATAGAGACCTCTGCTCAGCACGAACACGTCTAAGCCTGGAACTGTCGTGTACCTGAAAAATAGAAGTGGGTCAGGCCCACGCGCAAGTTCTATACTACTACAATCCAAATAGAGGCCCGATACGCATGTACATCCTAAACAATTCAACAATTGCTAATAGTCCATAAATATATATATAGTCACACTAAAGAACTCTCACTGGACTACAGGCCGGTCTCAACCTGAATAGAGGTAACATGCTAAAACACACACGAAGTGGGTATATGTACCTATACCTAAACAGGATACACCTCCAACCATCGTAGCCAGCTACACATCCCGATGCATATACGCTCCCTAGCCATCGGTCCTAAGGCTCAAGCTCATACCGAGGCACCATAACAGTACATATATAAAATCCATCCAAAATCCCTGGTATTGCCGCTCAACAAGTAGTTGCCATGACAATACAAATCCACAGGACTTAACTTTTAGTTAATCCCATCCTTATTCCAAGTAGGTGGGTAATGGTATTGTTTTAAAAACCAAACCCATCCTTAGTATGCTACCGTCCCATACTGGTGCCTACTTTCCAATCCTCCAGTAGTCAATAATACCAATAAATCAAGTATATATCAACTAAATTCCAACATCCAACATTCAATGTTAGCAGTGATAAAATAAGCATTGATAAACAGGGTCACAACAACAACATATACATGCCCAATTTAAGTTGTTCCCTTTAGTCTGATATAAAGATAAAATTAATTATAACTTCCATTTAACACCTTACAAATGACATACAGATATGTAGGGTATGTATCACAAAATCCTAACCTCCATAGTTGATACTAACTGTGATAATGTAAGCATCAAAACAATATTCACAGTATGTATGTAGACATGCTCAAATTATAGTGTTCCACAAAACCGACCTAGTGTTAAACTCAAATCCTCCTAGTATTTAAGTTCCAACAGTTGCTATTACAGAAGTTAAGATAGTTATCATCTAGACCCATCCTTCTAATAATTTATACTAGCAGTGGTAAGGAAAAACATGAACCACAGAACCACAATGCATCCACAAACATGCTTAGTCTAGGTTGAACAAGCATACAACACTACTGTAACTACCAGTTTCATAGCAAAACAGATATCATTTTAGTTTGGTTTAATCTTCAGTAATCCTGGAATCATTTAAGAGTGCAAAGAGTATGAAGCCTAAGGGAAAGAGTAAGGATAGAATCTTGCCTCAGAAACTTTTGTTCAAAGTTTCAACGTCATCTTCTTAAAAAAAATCCCGGTGAGTTCCAAAACCCGGTTACTGTTCATGGGTACGAAACACTATTCTCGAACTCAAAATCTGATCTCCACCGTTCAGATTATGCGACACTGAGTCATGAACCTATCCTCCAAATTTTAGCTCGATCGGACCATGGACGAAGCGGAATCGGATGTTTGATGAAATTTGGGCAGAATGGAAAAAAAACCTGTGCGACCCAATTACTGTTTATGAGTACGAATCACTGTTCCCGAGGTCAAACTCTGATCTCCACCATTCAGATTGTGTGTCACTGAGTCATGAACCTATCCTCCAAATTTCATCTCGATCGGACCACGGACGAAGCAGGATCGGATGTTTGATGAAATCTGGGCAGAATCGAAAAAAAACCTGTGCGACTTAGTTACTGTTCACGAGTACGAATCACTGTTGCCGAGGTCAAACTCTGATCTCCGCCGTTCAGATTGTGCGTCACTGAGTCCTAAATCTTTCCTCCAAAATTCAGCTTGATCGGACCACGGACGAAGCGGGATCGGAGCTCTGATCAAACCTTGGCAGAATGTGAAAAACTGCGTTTTTCCTTCTCCACTTCCACAAAACGTGTGCTTTGTTTAAAAAAAACCCTACACAGACGTCTACCTTATACTTATAGAGTTTTCCTAAACCCTAGGTTCATTTAAGTCCAACTCACAATCCTAACCGGCCCATCCAATTAACGTAGAAACCTACGACGGCTATAATATAAAACCCTAATTCATACTGTAATTAAAACCTTAGTTAGATGTATTTACCTAATTACCCTATTCACCATTAAATACTTAACAAATAACCTAATTGAACAAAATAATAATTAGTAAGCCCAATTAAACCAAATAAGACACACATAAAATAAGACACACATAGAATAATTAAACCAATTACACTTAAACCATCAATGCCAATTAAATAATTAAAACACTAACAAGTAATTCCAATCAAATAACTAAAAATAAATATCATTTAAATAAATTAAATCACCACAAAAGAAAACAATTAAGCACCTAATAAAAAAAAATAATGACACATAATCAAATAAAATGCACTTAAATAATAAATTAAATACCATTAAATACCAGGAATATCCTTTTTAAAATTAGGGGTATTACATATGTTTTTAGTTTTGACTGGAATCTGTTGTTGAAATTGTATCTTAGTATTTAATCGTAAGCATGTCAAATCGGTAATAGTTTGTATGGTTCTTTTTAATGCAAACTATTTTAAATAAATAACTAGGATAATATAAGATGAAATTTAGACCCTTAGGTTCAATTTTTACCAAGAACAGAAGGGGTAGAAGCGGCCAGAGACAAAGCAGAAGGCCGGAGGAGGTTCAGGCTCTCAGAGAGGGAGAG